GGACCAAAATAGAGAGTTTCTCAAAAAATTAGATTTTTTGCACGGCGCAATTAAAAAGATGTAGCGAAAGTATTAATTGCCGCTACAGTAGGTGAAGGTGTAGGCGCTACCGTTGCATACATAACTACATATTTGCGTTTTGTTTGCTTTATTGCTTGCTTTGATGCTTTTTATTTACTTAATTTTGATTGTTAATGATTTCGAAAGGAAATGCGCTTATTTATTTATGTACTAATGGGTCGACATTTTTAATGGCACGCAATTGCATTTACCAGATGAATTCGTCATCGTTGTAATTACAAATGTGTGTATATACATACATACATATGTACGTACGTATGTAGGTATGTACATTTGTATGGAAGTATGTTCTGACGTGTTAATTATGCAGTAGACTCGGGCGTAAACACTGATATTGATTTATATCATTTTTAAATCGCTTAAATTAATGTCCGCCTACTGGTTGTTTTGCCTGCCAGTTTTAAAAGCTGCTGCCCAAATCCGTTTAGTATGCAAAACGGCGCATTTATGTAGAATACAAAAATCGCCTGATGAAGGCGATTTAATGGCACGAATAGTCTTTGTAATGTGACTTATTTAAAATTCAGCAGCTCATTCAAGAAATCTGTAGATGTGTAAGTAAAGCATATTAAATGCAGCATTTTAAAGTATTCCGTCTGATAATTAATAATATGATAATTACTAAATGATAATTCCGAGTAGATAATTAAATTAAGCGCTTTGGTTTTGCGATTTTTTCATTAAGTTTATCCGACTTTCTGCTGTCAGCAACAAATTAGCAGTCAGTTGAACAATGCAGTTTTCATGAAAAATCATGGAATTTTTCAATTGAGCGTAACTACATTTAAAGAAAGAATAGATACCATAAACTTCCCCCTTTTGGGTATTGCCATGCGTTTCTGTGGTATGTACTCAAATATGCTGATCAACCTCGTGCAGAGTGGCTTATTTAAATTTTGAAATTGCGATACTTCAGAAATTTCGATTTGTAGCAACAAAATATTATAATAATTCTTGTAGACAATTGTACTTATGATCCTACAACTTTCTCCTATAAAATTTCGTGTTAACACTTATACTTGAAAGATATTTTGAAAAAGACGGGCTTCGCATTTGTTTTAAGAGTGAAACGAGCAAAATGGAGTGATTGAGTTTAAACGTAGGAGGAGCCTGCTTAAAAAAATAGAAAGTTTCTGAGCAATACTCCACAAACTCGTAGAGCTTTCGCTTGGCTAAATAATGTCTTTTGGTTTTGAAAATCAGTATTTCTATGTGTAAAGTTTTATTGGGCAGCCTTTTTTCCTCTCGGTTCAAGTCATTTAAGCTTTACTTTCTAGACTGGATGTACACAGAACAAAAGGTCTAAGAAAAATGCAAAGGTCGTCTCTATGGAAAGTCCCTAGACGGAGTTGTAAGACAGACGTAAAAACGCAAAAAAATTCGATAGTGATTTCGTTGTGGTTTCATAAGAAAATTGTTAAGTTATTTTATTAATAACAATATTTTAAATTAAAAAGAAAAACCTTTAATTTACATATATCTCTTGTCAGAAAAAAGTTACATTCGCATAGGGAACCTGCTAGCGTCATAGGTAAAATCACTATCAGCTAATTGTCAAAATGTCTACAGCTGAGGTCACTTGTTTTTTTTTTTTTGATTTACTTTTATCTTTTGCAACTCCTTCCATTTCTTTTAAAATTTATTCCAAGTTTAATTCACTAAAAATAATTTCTTCACAACCGCTTCCTAATTTCACATGGCAAGTAATTGGTATTATCAAATACATATCGCACACCGTCTTCAAAAGAGTCACAACTCAAAATAATACGTTTGTCAGAAAATGCGAAAAACTAAATATTTCTATATATTGCATTTATTAATACGGGTTTTCATATCAATATGAGAGTAGGGTCTTCTTCAAAAAGCGAAAGAGATAGTATGACGTATCTTATTACTTTTGTTTTCCTTATTAGGGAGTTTTTTCTGTGTACTATTACTATTACTATTTTTAGTATTGTTTTCCCACTAGGCGGATGCATTTTTGGGGGTTTTTCTGATTGAATTTTTCGTCCAATACGCTTTCCTTCTGCATTTTCCAGATATTTTAGTCATAATTCGGAAAAAATAAAACAAACGAATAATTTTATTAAATCGGGAACCTCCTGAAAGCTAACAAAGAGTAGCACGCTCCTCTGCACACTCAGCCACAGCCGAATATGTATAAGTGCACGCTTTTAAATGTTCAGTTTGAACAAATAAAATAAAATTATTGCCTTCAAATAACATAAATAATAAATCTTTTTGAAGTCGTTTTCTATACGTTTCCGGATACGAACAATTTGCGAGACTGCACTGTCGTGAAAACTTACGTTTCTCTGCTGGCTGAGTATTCATTGTACGCACACTGATCTCGTTTATTCAGGTTAACTCTAAATCAAAGACAGACTTATGTATATAACTATTAGTGATGCCAACCAGGGGAGAATTCTCCGATTTTGGTGGAATTCGGGGGGATCGGGGGATGGCTTTATATATTGGTGTAATTCAATATACAAACGATTTTGATTAGAACATTCGCATTGAGGATATAATTGCATTTATAAATTACAACTTGTAATAACAATCTCTCATTACGTTGCATAGACACTTTTCACTTTTTTCTTCGTTTTCGCCTGCAAGCCATCGTATTAGTTGTTTATATTATAAACAAGTGTGAATGTACCTTATTAAAAAAAAATTATTAAGACAAGCTTTCATTAGTTTTTAATAAAAGAAGGAAAAAAACCAACCCCGCGCCACCTAACGGTTGAATTTTCTGTAGTGTTATTTCCTTCCATTCAAGTAATATACGTTTTTAATATGACCTATATCGGACCATAACTACAGAATTTTCAAATACTTCGACATCTGCTCCACCTAGGGGATTAATTCATACTTCACATTGCATTGTCATCGCGATCTGAGCTAAGTTTGAAGTTTCAAGCCTCTAGCTCATCGGGAAGTTGGTTAAAAATTAATTGCAAGATTTGATTACACACAGGTGAAACATAATAAAAGCTTTGTAAAATTGTTCCATTCACAATAGTGGATTTTTGCAGGAATTTTGGGGAACTAGTCTCAAGAGAATTGGCAACCCTGGTACCTACCCAATTTGCTAAACGACTTCGTGTCGACGTCGTTTCCGACTCGTTATGGTGAACAATTTGTTCGCCGGCGACGTTCGCCAACGAATCTCCGTCGGATGAAAAGCACAATTCGCCGTTGGGTCGTAAAATCGACTAGCCGGCGGGTCGCAAAAACGATTCGCCAAATGATGCTCAAAATCTTTTACAAAAATCATATACATAAATCTAATTTAAAATTGTGTGCGTTATTTAAAACGACAAATCAGCAAGCTTTCCGAAAATTTTCAAACTTTTCGATCTGAATTAAATGAAAAAATATAAAGCAGTTTTATAGCTCATTAAATTTTAGTGTAATATGTAGAGTACAAATTTCATATGGAAAAAATTAATTCGATTTGACGTCGTTTCGAGCTCACCCAAACGAATTCACCACGCCGACGTCGAATCGAATTAGATTCGTTGAGAAAAAACGAAGTCGGAACGAAGTTGCGTTTTGTATGAAAAAAAAACGACTTCGTTTCGACGCCAAACGACTTTACCAAGCCGACGCCGTAACGACTTCGATTCGATGAAAAAATAAAGTCGAGATGACGTTGCGTTTTGTGTAAAAAAAACGACTTCATTTCGACGTCATTTCGAGTTCAGCCAAACGACTTTACCAAGCCGACGCCGTAACGACTTCGATTCGATGAAAAAATAAAGTCGAGATGTCGTTGCGTTTTGTGTAAAAAAACGACTTCATTTCGACGTCATTTCGAGGTCAGCCAAACGACTTTACCAAGCCGACGTCGTAACGACGTCAATTCGGACTCGTCCTTGCTCTGTGGCAAATTGGGTATATGAAAACTCGCAACTTTTTTGATTAATTATTTTAGGTATTTATCAATATTCCTCTACATTTACCTTTTGTTAAAATACATATGTATGTATTTATGAATGTAAAATCGTCGGCAATGAACTACCTATCCACCTATCTACTCATTGTTTGCTAAACAAATAATAAAAAATTATGTACATATTTACAAAACTATAAATGTACATACATGTAAGTATGTAGTAAATATTTATTCAATTCAACGGATCATCAAATAAACTGAACGCTTTGTATTATGATTTAAGAATGATCACATAAAGTAATCAGAACAATTGTGTGAATTGTTTATTTACCATAACTATCAAATTAATTGAAAGTAAACTATTGAATTTCAATTACTTATTCTGTGCGAAAATTTGAAGCGAGCATACTTTTGCAATACCTCCAAATAAACATACTATATAATTTTATTTATGCACATAAAAACACTTCGAGTATTCCGAAAAGCGACAACGGCCGCAGTTCGCTATATAATTAGCACCTAAGCTAGTCTGAAGAATATTCTGGAACTTTTAGCTTCCATTAAGTAGGCGCATTTTAGCACAATAAAGTAAAACGTAACCTAACATACCACATACTTACATACATACATACATACATACATATGTATGTGCATGATTTACGAACGAAACTGAATCAGTAAGAACGCCCCATGTCCCATCCGCCATTCATACGTTGAACTTGCTTATTAAAAATTTAGTGGTCACGGCGTTCTCGTGCAAACATACTCGTATTTGCCCCTGTAGTGAGTGCAGCAGAGCACAATGGATGCTTCCAGATTACGCTCACCGGCTTTTAGTTGCTTCATCATACACATTTCGTTGATTAAATTGTAAGCTTCCGTCATTTGAAAAGCGGCGCAGACAATTCAATCGAATTAAGCATTCATCGTGCAGAGCGAGCTGTTGTCCGTCCGTCCATGTTGGAAATTTATCATACGATTTACGAAAAGACTGATAAAAATACACAAAAGACTATACTAAAATACATACAGCGTGTAAAACGTGTAAAAATTATTGCATACTTTCAATTGTAAAGCAATCTTCTTGTGTAAGCAGCATACATACGTACATACATACATACATACATACATATGTACTTACTTTAGTATCTATTTGGGCTGCATTAATTTGACCTTTGCAATTGATTAAGCCCTGAGAGGCGCCATTTCATTTTCATTCAACAAGCAGAGTTTAGTTGCGTAACTAGTTCGTATATATGTATGTATGTACTAAAATATATGTGTGCATACATATGTACATATGTATGTATGTAGTTAATAAAATAAGTTGGAAGATTATTTGAAATCTCCTATCTATATATCTTCCTCTTTTCTTATTTTCCAGTATGAAGTTCCAATTATTCATCCTCTCTGCTCTGCTCGTCAGCGCATTCGCTTTACCCGTGCCCGATGAGGAAGTGTCTCCGGTAGTGCAGGCGGCGCCACAAACCCAAGAAAAGATCGGTGATTTGCAAAAGGCAGAGGAAAAGATTATCGATGCAGTCAAGCCTATCGAGTCGCGCGCTGCTGAAACTCCTGCTGCCGCCGCCGCCACACCCATCGAGGAGAAAAAACTGGAAAAACCTGCAGAACTTCCATTAAACGCGCCCGATTCTGAATTGAGCCTAAGCTTGCCCGCCGAGAAGAAGGACGAGAAGAAGGACAAACAGACTCGCGCTGACAATCCGCTGGAGGAGGCCAAGGCACTGCCTGTAGTTGCTGCCGCACCCGCTAGCGTCGCCATTGCCGCCGCTGAGGAACCGAAGCAGGCCGAGGAAACTAAGCCTCTGATCGCTCTTGCGGAACAAGCTAACATTGAAGGCAAATCTACCATCATTGCTGAAGCAGTACCAGCCGAACAGAAAAAAGATGAACTCTCTGCCGCTGAGGAAACGCCCGTGGTGAAAACTGATGCCGCCCCAGCTGCCGCGGCCGCGCTCGCCTCAACTGATGCAGCTCTATTGGAGGCCAAAAAAGAGGAAACTCCCGCACGTCAAGAACGCGTTGGTGAAGCTGTAAACGAAGTGGACGCTAAGGGTGTGCCCGCTGCACCAGCTGTTGTAGATGCAGTGCCAGAAGTTAAGAGCTTGCTCGCTGAAGAATCTGCACTCGCTGCCGTCTCCACCGCCGATGCTGCGCCAGAACAACCCACCGATACTGAAAAATTACAACAACCAGAAGCTGTTAAGGAACAATTGAAAGCTGCTGCCTCCGAGCCAGCTGCTGAGAAGGCGGCACTAACGGCGCAAGCGCCAGCCGGAGACATTCTCCAACAAGCAAGTGAAGAGAGCAGCGCCAAGGCATTGAAGGCTGAGGAGCCAACACAACTATCCATTGCCGCACCCGCCGTACCAGAAGGCAAAAAAGTGGAGGAAGCCGCAGCCGCCGCACCTGCTCCAGTTGAGTTGCAGCAAGAGCAACAAAAAGAAATCAAGCCCGAGGTAAAAGAAAGCGAGCCCAAGACATTGGAGGAAAAGAAACCCATTACTGAGGCTGAGAAACCAAGCGAGAGCAAGAAATCTGAGGGATCCAAGAACGCCGATTCATCCGGCTCTTCCGAATCAAAGGAAAGCAGCGAATCCAAGGAGGACAAATCAGATTAGACATCTAAATGATAAGATCAAATACCTCCCCTCCATAAGTTTACAAAAACAAAAAAAATTTAAATAAAATAATAATTTGACAACACTTCAAGACAGCCATTAATCGGGAATGGATTATGCAAAAACAATACGACCGACGTAAAGTGGTCACAAACTCAACGCTCTTAATAATATTTAGCTAGTTATTTTAGTTGTAAAAACTATTTAGAAAGAAACTAAATCAACAAAACGGACAAAACGAGGGACCGAATTACTAATATTTACAATAAACAAGGCAAGCATTAGTACCACATAGGCAGTGATAACAAAAACACGGCAGTTATAAAACAACAATACAAGTCAAGAACAGTTAGATGCCGAGATGACAAACGGGCACGTTGACTGACGACGTCGACCGCAGATGCAGACATCGCCTTGAGCGTCGTCTAGATTTGTCATCGGCAAATTCAGAGGTATTCCAGTCCTCAACAGCATTAAATACCGAAACAAAGGTTAACATCGCTAACAGTGGAGCAAATGTAAGGACAAACCAAGAAGATGGCACACACAAGCAGTAATACTTACACAAGTAATTATGATACATACTACATACATACATACATATGTATGTGTATATCATAAATTATTTACATAAATCAAAATAACATCTAAGCTTAATTAAATTAAAAAAAAAAGAACATACAATTAAATCTACATACAACACGCTGTAGGGTGATGTTAGAGTCGAGGGAATATCTAATTTTAATGATGTTATAAGTATTGTACGAGTAGTTATTGCACAAAACTACTTTTAAGTTTTTTAGCCACTCCGAATTGGTAGAAGAAATACATTGCACACACGCACACATACATATGCGCACGTATTTATGTAGATACGTACGTGTGTGGCGATAACCCTAGCATTCAGAATTGAAAAGCAACTCGACAGCAGAATCCGACAATCCGACCCGCTCAATAAAAATAAATATATCTACATACAATATTTTAAATAATAATACGATACACCAACATACATACATACATACATACAAACGTTAGATAATATTGTGGATCAATTACGTTTAATTTTATAAATTATATATATGTACGTTTTAATTTTATGAAAAATTTCTGCTGGCACTTGCAAGTTTTCAAGTTTTTTTTTTGGTCTTCAATTATCTATGCGCTTTTATGGTGGCTGCGACTTTCAATTACATTTCGAACAAAAACGCACTTTGGTGTAATTGAAATGTTGTTGGAGACGCACTCAATTCGGATGTGTATGGGATAGCAAACAAAATACGTTGGTGACTACATAACACCTACATATACATACATACCATACCATACATACATATGAATTAGATGTATTTGTACGATTTTTATATAGACTGACATTTTTGGATAAAAAATAATAAAAAAACAATAAAAATCAACATGCATATTGTTATTTATTTATTTTAGGGAAGAGACGGCATAGCAAATAGTTAAGGAGCTGCACTAATGTAGACGAATTACAGGTTTATGGTGGTGACTACTTTCTTGGCATTGGCATGTCCGGGAATAATTCAAAAGTCCTTGCACAAACACACAGACTTTCATCTAACGCGCAGGCGGAAAATCGCACAATGAGGGCCAACCGACCAATATACATATGGAAAATTTAAAATTTTTAAAAGTTAAAAATTGGCACATCAAATCACACAGTTTTTAACCTGAATATGCTCTTATTATTATCACGTATTCTACGTTTTAGTTTAGCCGCTGTGGATCCGACACAGCCTGCGCGACAAGACGAAGGCGCTGGACTGATCCTTTTTTTTTTAGTTGATCGCACTTTAGATATCGGTGTGCGATATCATAAGTTAAGAGCCGACTGTAGATGCCGAAAATTGGCAGAGAGCTCGGCTAAAAACATAGCAAAAAGACGATTTTATGTTTCTCTGGAACATTTTCAGAAAATGGACTTACCTCGTTTCTATCCTTAGGTAGCGAGAGACATAACAGTTCTTATAACCAGGGACCGAAAACAAAAGGTATGTTCGACACTAAATGTCGCTCTCGTAGTTTTGCTCCCAAGTACGCTTAAATGGGAATTACAGTATTCCCCGCTTAGTTGCACTTCAAAAATTGCACAATTTTTGGTTCAATTAAACAAGGAAACAATTTACCGATTCTCGTTTAATTGAATAGTTCGATCAATTACAGAAATTCTGCTAAATTGGGCAACCTAATCAATTACAAAAAAATGCATGTCTGCATTTTAAATTTATTTATATTTACATAGTTTCAACTTTGAACCAAAAAAAATTAAGGCAATCAGCGCTCCATTCAACTAAAATTTTTACGAAAGTTTGTTGATTTTTTTTTTTTAATATTGAACAAAGCTTGAAATTTGAATTTACACCAGTTCTAATAAAGAAAGAACTATATTTTTATTAAAATAATAACCAAAATTAAATTATAAAAAAAAAAATATATGAAACTTGTCAAAATGTGGTGCGGTATAATGTTCGACCACAGTATGTAAACATGTGACAAGAAAATATATCAAAAATTCAACGCTTTAAGGAAAGCATTCGACTCACATGTAAACAGAGTGCAGAGTGCAAAGCAGACGAACTGACAGAGAAAGGTACGACCACCCAAAACCTTCGGGGAAAGGACACGGTAGATATAGCAGCGGTAGCAGTTTGTTAAGGATCACAACATTCTAGTGACCAAGGAACGCTGGAACAACTTTCGCCTTGCGAAACTTGCAGGATTACCAGGTATTTCTATCAAAGGCGCTTAGCTTAGGCGCCACTTCCTACCAAATTACCAAACTTGATAAATAAAGAAAAAAATTATCAATTTTGCTTAAAAATTACCTAATCATTACAAGAACGAACGAATCTAGTGGAATAAGGCTAGTGTCTCAGTGTTGGAATTAAACAACGGTTTTACTGTAATAAATATTGGCAAACTCGGAATTCAATCTAAAATTGTTATACACATAAAGAAAGAAATATATATGTATGTGCATAAGGAATACTGTGTAAAAATCTTAAATGCAAATATTTAATCACTTTTAAATAATATGGCTTTTAAGTTAAGGCGTGCGAGTAAACGTGTTAGATGACTGCGTATGGTGCTGCGGGTCGTATACGTTACATAAGGGAGTGCCACGGGTATCTGAGCATGAGTGGATATTTTTACTTTTTTCGGTATACCGTTTTTTTTAAGTTTTCATTTCAATACAATTTTCGCGATGGAATCTTGTTCTTTATACAAGACTGAAGATAATGCATTTTCTAAGATAGGTGAACCACCATTTTTGACCAAAAACACGTTTTTGTCGGAAAATTTAACAACTCGTGAGATTTGCTCATATATGTACGTAAAATGCGAGTAAAGAGATTATTAGATTATTATGTGAGTAGAGATTCTGTACATAGAGTCAAGTGTTGTACCCTTTATTCAGTAACGAATACATACCGTTTGCTACAGCTCTATGAAACATAATTATGTAAATAAAGTCAACGAAAGACTTAAGACACGAACTTTTCTTGCACAGTTCACCCTAATGATAAACGATCTGGAAGTTGAAATGATCCAGCTTTCTTCATCTTTCTGCCCCTCTCATTCTTAATGTAAAGTTCTGAATTCTACATTTTGATAAGGCTACATCTAATTCCCTATTATATAAGTTATTCGGCCCTATCGCGAATTTCACATGAACAAATATTCCCAAAAATTATAAAACAAAACAAAAACAATTTTTCCGTTTTCTATGTGGGTTCTGCGCAAAAATACTCTGATATGCACAAGAAATGTTGTATGCCTTTGACATGCGGAAGTCCCTCTTCTCCGGCAACACAGAAAGGAGAATTCAACTTAGTAAGGGTTACAATCCCTAAGCGCGGAGAAGGCAGAAGCAAACGCAACAGGTGGTGGACCTAACAAAATGCATGTTTTCAATGGGCTGGAAGCGGTTATTGCATTAACTGGATTGAGAACCAGTTCTTCAGGCATAGGAGGAGTTCTGGCTTGTGGTTCAACAATTCAACCAGAAGCTGACATGGATGCGCCCATGGTTACTTTGCCCGGCAGCTCCGCATACCTTTGCGAGTCCATTGCTATAGCGCGCTCTTACTCCACTGCTGCAAATGCATCAGAATCCATAATTTTCCTCAAAATATTTAAAGTCAACTAATTTTACTATAAACAAGCACATGATGAGTGCTTTTTTAATTCCTTTCCACTTTGTTTTCCTTCATACAGCTGACTTCGAAAAAGAACTGATGCTGCACATTTTTCAGCAAGAGTCATGCAGCATGTCGATTTTTCGTTTTTCGTAACGTAGCTACGAATTACGAACTACGAAAATTCGGGTTCTAGAATAAGGGTGTTCGACACGGTTGCATTGCTCATAATACGAATTTCGCATTCAATCTTCGATAACCATCAAATGCACTCATAATAAGGGGGGCCATGTGACAGCTGCCCATTCCAAATATGACCATCAGGATTCATAAACAAATCTTTGATCGGATCTTTGAACAGATTTTCAGACTTAAATGACTTATTGCCAACGCGAATATGATGAGTACTTACCGTTCGGATGAGCATTTGGCAGATGAGTATGCCTAGTGACCACCAATCGATAGCGTGCCCGTAGGGCTCACCACGCAACACTTCCGGAGCTGCCAATAGATAAAAAGAAAGAAAAAAAAATGTTTATATATTATTTGCTAGAGAGAATATTTAAACGATATTTTATACGAATTTCATGTTCTGAGAAGTATTCATAGATTAATAACTTCAACATGTCGCCTGTATTTTTTTCACCTCTATCTATTGGAACGTTGCGATAGAAGTTCAAGGCTGTTATTTTTATTGATGCAACAAAGGTGAGCAACCCATGAACGAAATTCAGTAATCAAGAAGGAACACGACCGAAAGAGAGGGAGCTTTGTTGAGGCCACTTCGCCTTGTTCGACTTAAGAGCTCACTAAATTCTGGCTATATAAACGTGTAGCCTATTAAAAACCCTATGAGCAATGCGATGAGCGTTGGCCTAAGGATCGCCCAAATGAATAGATAAATTCAATGAAAAAAGTAGAAAGGCTCGGATAAAAGCTTTCCTACTCAATGACGGCCCTAGTAAACGGAACATGAACTGTACGTAAACTGCGAAGGACGTATCGAATGCATGAAGTATGCATAACGCTGGGATCTACACTTTTTTTGCAGTATTTTACGTTTTTATGAACTCCAAAAATGGAATGTGGTTTTAAAAAATACTGCATTTATATGAAAACATACTTGTTTTGCTAACTTAGGGCCAGTTTCTCAATATCTGCTTAACACGAACTACAGGTTAAACATCAACAGACCTCAGATTCGGGCTCAGCGAGTCGAAAACCCCATATATATGAATTTTCAGTTTTATTAAAAAAATTTTTCTGACGTGATGGAGACTAACATACCCCGGATTCGCATTCAGCGCGTCGAATAACAGGGATATAGAGGTTTGGTTCAATATCCAGAAACTTTTTTTTGTTAACCAGTGTAATTATAAAAACCTTAACCAAAATTCAGACAAGAGTGATACACTGCAATATAGCCAGAGTACCAGTTTGACAGAATTAAAAATATAGCCAAAGATCATAGAAAACCAGGAAGCTGGCTATGTTTATGGCCCGCCAAGGCGAATTTATACAAAGTGGTGTTCGCAGAAATTACAATAACAAATTATACGTGCATTGACAGCTGTGTGTAGGGTTTATCGTTATTCCCTGCCAGCAAGGCTTAGCATCACGGTGCCCGCATTTAGCACAGCGGATCAATTTTTGCCTTAACCACTGCCCTGAAATACAAGCACTTGAGTACCAATTGGCAGTGTGTGGTGGACACACTTACCACCTTGGTAACGCCGAGGCCTACCTAAACCTCTGACGTTCTCTGGATTACGAGATTCGGTTGCAATGCAACTCCACATTGAACCATTTCTGTTTCTACCCGCATTTAGGTGGTTGACCACAGCCACCACGGTATTCCCGAAGGGGCCGTAACCATGGAAAGACCGGAGTAATGCTCACCGGCGAGATTTTCTCGACCGGCTCGACTCACCTTGACCCACTTAACTGGCTCGACTTACACTAGCACGACTTACACGACTACTTCACTCCACATTCATCCCCATTTCAATATGCACACTTCATACCCTCTGCCTTCATCTTGCTCGTCTCACACGTCTTACTCGCCACGCTCGTGAGCAG